TTTCTTTCTTTCTTTCTTTCTTTCTTTCTTTCTTTCTTTCTTTCTTTTGAGAGTTGTTCATTCTTAGTGGCATTGAGGGGTTTTATTTTTATGGAAAGCTTTAGGAGCAAGTGGAGAGGTATAAACCATTGTTAGCTTTTCATTTGCTATTAGCAAGTAGACATGAATCATACATGGTTCACACCTTCCAAATTGATAAAACTTGGCAAGAGCAGTTAAGTATTCCAACTTTCGATAACTACAGCCTGCTGGTGGGAAATTATAGAGAAAAATGAATCCACATAAAAATAGAACGTAAGAGCTGGAAAGAATCTCAGAGGTTGTTTCTTCAGGATTTTCCAAAGACATTACCAACCCCCAGGCATGTTATGAGCATGTAAACATCTGATCAGTGTCATGATCAGGATCTGCCAGAAATGTTTCCAGAGCAAAAGGGGCTCTATTAAATGGGAAGCAATTACAAAGGCTGAATTAAAAAGCTTCCTGCAGTTTTCTTCAGCAGGAGGTTCATACTAACATGCATAGAGAATTGCTAGGAGAGACAGGCAATATGCAGGCTTTGTCAGACTTATTTTCTTGTAGACCTCTTCTGTCCAGAAAACATCCTGTGGGATTCCTTTTCTTCAGACCTCATGTTGGGGATTGCTTTTCTGGTTTCATTGCTCTTCCATATAAATGAGAAAATTGTGACCCAGTGTGAGCATAAGTATTGTGTAAGGACACAAGTGAGAGCTAGAGTTAAAATCCTTAATTCTCAATTCAGTGTTCTTTCTACCTTGTTCACATTTCAAATTCAGAGGTAGAAAGTGGAAAGAGACAAATACATAAAGTGGGAAGCATTTTCAATATATATATGTGTGTGATAATATTTCAAATTTAGTAATAATGTATATATTGGAAATATACATATTATATACATAATATATAGTGTATATAGATGCTATCTACACTTCATGTATTATATATAATGTACAGACATATATACTGTATCTCTTTGAATGTGTATTTGTAGGAGAATTGGGGGGTGTACTCATGGAACTAAATTCTGTGTTTATTTTATCTAATAATTTTATTCTGCTATATTTACTAAAAAGATACAAATAAAATTCTTAATTTATGATATATTAGTAAAGACTGCTACAAATGGATTGTAGCCATATAGAGTATTCTAACCTCTGATAAGATTTCCAGGGAGTAGATTTGCTTGTGAATCTTTAATTTGAATTATCATGTAATTAAAATAAATATAATGTAAAATTATTTGAAAAGTCATTTTTAAGTGATAAAGATCCTGAACTATAATTATAATAATTATTATAATACATTGATCCTTTAGTTCCTTTAGTGATTTGAAAGCTTTGGGTGCTATTTGCCTGAAGTCTAGTTTCTAATGTTTTCTTTCTCAAATCTCAGGTTATCAAGCTGAGCTATGGAAAGATGTTTTAAAAGAAAGAAAAGAAAAAAGATTTCTCAGGACCACTGTGTTTTTGGATACTACTGGCACAAAACCATTTTGCAGTAAGTTAACATTTTCAACAAATGAACAAATAATTAGTTTTATATACTAATTTATATATTCTCCAAAATGTTCTTTCTACCCACTCCAATTTCATCATGTAATTTCAAGGAATTCTGAAATTTGTTAGAGCCAAATTCAAATAAGGACTTGATATTTTAGATTGAATGAACATATGCTTTGGACAATATTTTCCCAAAGAAACAATAAAGTCTGTTTTTTTCCTCCAAATTTGCCTGATTATCTTTCCCACCTTTAGAGTTATGTCAACATATACCTGATTATAGAGTTCAAGACATCTGTCTACACTATTAATATCCTTTGGGAACTGAACCTAAACTATATAAATACAAAATGTATAAGTAAATAATAACCTCCCCTATATATTTAGAGACAAGAGAAAATTCAGTGAACAAGAGAGAATGTCTTAGAAATATATTAAATAATTAGACTTATGAGGAGCTATTTTAAATTTTATTCTGTTTAAAGATGAAAAGCTGGTAGTTGTTTATAAATAAAGGTAAATCCTATTATAAGAAGAATCTTACGAGAAGTTTCAAGTCACTGCCATTGACTTTAGTTACTGATGGATAAGTACTTAAAATCGATTCTTGTATTTAAAAGTATTTTGGGGGCTCCTGAGTGGCTGTCAGTTAAACATCCAACTTTGGCTCAGGTCATGATCTCCCAGTTTGTGAGTTTGAGCCCTGCCTTGAGCTCTGTGCTGACGGCTCAGAGCCTGGAGCCTGCTTCAGATTCTGTGTCTCCCTCTCTTTCTCTCTCTGCCCCTCCCCTGCTCGCACTCTTTTTCTCTCTCTCTCTAAAAAATAAATAAACATTTAAAAAATAAATAAAAAATAAAAGTATTTTTAGGGCTGTTAGTGTTAATTTTTTGCAGACACAGTTGCTATCAATTTTAAGTATTATAATTTTTTAAATATTTTAAAATAATTTTTAAAATATTAGTGTTATATTGTACCATTTGGAATTAGGCCTATTATTTAATTAAAATTTTTACTAAATTAAATTTAGATTCAAATGCAGATATAAGAAATACAGAGAGCTCCTGTGTACACTTTATCCAGTTTTCCTCAATGTTAATATTTTGCAACATAGTATAATTATAATATAATATCACCACCAGGATATTCATATTTCCCCAGGCACTCCTCTGTGTCTGTGTGTGTGTGTAGTTCTGTACAATTTAATCATACGTTTAAGGCTAGTATCTGTCACTACAGTGAAGATCGTGAACAGTTCCATCACCACAAGGATCCTTTGGGTGATACTTTTATAACCACATATACCATCCTGTCCTGCTTTTCTAAAATTTTGTCATTTTGCTCTTAATGATAGAGAACAAACTGAGGGTTGATGGAGGGAGGTGCGTGTGGGATGGGCTAGGTGAGTGATGGGTATTAAGGAGGACACTTGTGATGAGCACTGGGTGTTGTATATAAGTGGTGAATCACTGAATTCTCCTGAAACCAATAGTGCCCTGTATGTTAACTAACTAAAGTTTAAATTTAAAAAAAAGAAAAAAAAAGAAGATACAATAACAAAATAAAATTTTGTCATTTTGAAAATGTTATATAAAGGGACTCATTCAGTATGTGACCTTTTAATTGCCTCTTTTTTTTTTCACCTAGCTTCCCTGGAGGTTTATCCATCATTCCTTTTTATTTCTGAGTAGTATTCCATGGTATATATGTACTACAGCTGGTTTACTTGTTCATCTCTTGAAGGACATGAGGGATATTTTTAATTTTGGCTTTATGAATAAAGCTATGAACATTTATATACAAGTTTTTGTGTGAATTTAAGTTTTTATTTCTCCAAAGGCCTAAGAAATGCACTTGCTAGGCCAGAAGATAATTAACTTTATAAGAAATTGACCAAGTGTTTTTCAGAGTGCTGTATCATTTTGCAATCCCCTCAGCAAAGTATGAGTGATCCAATTTCTCTGATTTCTTACTAATAATTGGTGTTGTCATTATTTAAAAAAATTATTCATTCTAATAGGTGGATAGTGATGCCATATTGTGGTTTTAATTTTTGTTACCCTGATGGTTTATAATAATGAGTATCTTTTCTGTATATCCTCTTTGGTGAAATATGTGTTCATATCCTTTGCCTATTGCTTAACTGTATATTTTATTTTACTTTATTTTATTTTATTTTATTTATTTTTATTTTATTTTACATTATTTATTTTTTTTATATTTTACATCCAAATTAGTTAGCATATAGTGCAACAATGATTTCAGGAGTAGATTCCTTAGTGTCCCTTACCCATTTAACCCATCCCCCCTCCTACAACCCCTCCAGTAACCCTCAGTTTGTTCTCCATATTTATGAGTCACTTCTGTTTTGTCCCCCTCCCTGTTTTTATGTTATTTTTGTTTCCTTTCCCTTGTGTTCATCTGTTTTGTCTCTTAAAGTCCTCATATGAGTGAAGTCATATGATATTTGTCTTTCTCTGACTAATTTCACTTAGCATAATACCCTCCAATTCCATCCACGTAGTTGCAAATGGCAAGATTTCATTCTTTTTAATGGCCGAGTAATACTCCATTGTATATATGTATACCACTTCTTTATCCATTCATCCACCCATCAATGGACATTTGGGCTCTTTCCATACTTTGGCTATTGTTGATAGTGCTGCTATAAACATGGGGTGCATGTGTCCCTCCGAAACAGCACACCTGTATCCCGTGGGTAAATGCCTAGTAGTGCAATTGCTGGGTCGTGGGTAGGTCTATTTTTAGTTTTTTGAGGAACCTCCATACTGTTTCCCAGAGTGGCTGTGAGAGCTTGCATTCCCACCAACAATGCAAAAGAGATCCTCTTCCTCTGCATCCTTGCCAACATCTGTTGTTGCCTGAGCTGTTAATGTTAGCCATTCTGACAGGTGTAAGGTGGTATCTCATTGTGGTTTTGATTTGTATTTCCTTGATGATGAGTGATGTTGGGCATTTTTTCATGTGTCAGTTGGCCATCTGGATGTCTGCTTTGGAGAGGTGTCTATTCATGTCTTTTGCCTATTTCCTCACTGGATTATTTGTTTTTTGGGTGTTGAGTTTGATAAGTTCTTTATAGATTTTGGATACTAACCCTTTATCTGATATGTCGTTTGCAAATATCATCTCCCATCATGTCGGTTGCCTTTTAGTTTTGCTGATTGTTTCCTTTGCTGTGCAGAAGGTTTTATTTTGATGAGGTCAATAGTTCATTTTTGCTTTTGTTTCCCTTGCCTCTGGAGATGTGTTGAGTAAGAAGTTGCTGCGGCCAAGGTCAAAAGGTTTTTTCTGCTTTCTCCCTGAGGATTTTGATGGCTTCCTGTCTTACATTTAGGTCTTTCATCCATTTTGAGTTTATTTTTGTGTATGGTGTAAGAAAGTTGAACAGTTTCATTTTTCTGCATGTCGCTGTCCAGTTTTCCCAGCACCCCTTGAAGAGACTGTCTTTATTCTATTGGATATTCTTTTCTGCTTTGTCAAATATTAGTTGTCCATACGTTTGTGGGTCCATTTCTTGGTTCTGTATTCTGATCCATTGATCTGAGTATCTGTTTTTGTGCCAGTACCATACTGTCTTCATGATTACAGCCTTGTAGTACAGCTTGAAGTCTGGGATTGTGAGGCCTTCTGCTTTGGTTTCCTTTTTCAAGATTGCTTTGGCTATTCGGCATCTTTTCTGGTTCCATACAAATTTTAGGATTATTTGTTCTAGCTCTGTGAAGACTTCTGGTATTATTTAGATAGGAATTGCATTGAATATGTAGATTGCTTTGGGTAGTATTGACATTTTAACAATATTTGTTCTTCCTATCCAGAAGCATGGAATCTTTTTCCATTTTTTTTGTGTCCTCTTCAATTTCTTTCATAAGCTTTCTATAGGTTTCAGTGTATAGATTTTTCATCTCTTTGGTTAGATTTATTCCTAGGTATTTTATGGTTTTTAATACAATTGTAAATGGGATCTATTCTTTGATTTCTCTTTCTGTTGCTTCATTGTTGGTGTATAGGAATGCATACGATTTCTGTGCATTGATTTTATATGCTGCAGCGTTGCTGAATTCATGAATCAGTTCTATGAGTTTTTGGTGGAATCTTTAGGGTTTTCCATATAGAGTATCATGTCATCTGCGAAGAGGGAAAGTTTGACCTCCTCCTGGCCGATTTGGATGCCTTTTATTTCTTTGTGTTTTCTGATTGCAGAGGCTTCCAATACTATGTTGAATAACAGTGGCGAGAGTGGACATCCCCATCTTGTTCGTGACCTTTGGGGGACAGCTCTCAGTTTTTCCCCATTGAGGATGATAATAGCATTGGGTCATTCATATATGGCTTTTATGATCTCTAAGTATGCTCCTTCTATCCCTACTTTCTTGAGGGTTTTCATCAAGAAAGGATGCTGTATTTTGTCAAATGCTTTCTCTGCATCTATTGAGAGGATCATATGGTTCTTATCCTTTCTTTTATTGATGTGATCAATCATGTTAATTGTTTTGTGGATATTGAACCAGCCCTGCATCCCAGGTATAAATCCCACTTGGTTGTGGTGAATAATGTTTTTAATGTATTGTTGGAGTCAGTTGGCTAATATCTTGTTGAGGATTTTTTCATCCATGTTCATCAGGGAAATTGGTCTATAGTTCTCCTTTTTAGTGGGGTCTCTGTATGGTTTTGGAATCAAGGTAACGCTGGCTTCGTAGAAAGAGTTTGGAAGTTTTCCTACCATTTCTATTTTTTGGAACAGCTTCAAGAGAATAGGTGTTAACTCTTCCTTAAATGTTTGGTAGAATTACGCTGTAAAGCCATCCAGCCCTGGACTCTTGTTTTTTGGCAGATTTTTTATTACTAATTCGATTTCCTTACTGGTTATGGTCTGTTCAAATTTTCTATTTCTTCCTGTTTCAGTTTTGGTAGTGTATATGTTTCTAGGAATTTGTCCATTTCTTCCAGATTGCTCATTTTATTGACATATAATTTCTCAT